AGTGCCCTCCATCAGCCACCAAATGGTGGCTCTGCAGACCCTGCAGCTGCTGCAGCAAGAGTGGGGTTGGGAAGATGGTCCCGGCGCCCCAAGGAGCCCGAGCGACCCGGACCACGTGTCTGCTGCCCCAGCCCACCGTTCAGGCCCGATGCGGACCAGACCCGGGCCAGAACGTGAGGAGGGCGGCGGGGGCGTGGGGACCAGGAATAGGGAGTCCAGGAAGCGGGCGAGCTCTCCTGAGGTAGAAGTGATGCGAGGCGCGGAGGGGGGCGCGGAGCTGCTGCCCTTCCCCCGGGACCGCGGGCCCTGCACCCTGGCTCGAATGGCAATGCGAAGCGCTCTGGCCCGCGTGGTGGACTCGACCTCGGAGCTGGTCAGCGTGGAGCAGACTCTGCTGGGACCTCTCCAGCAGGAACGGTCCTTTCCCATTCACCTGAAGGTGAGTCCAGTCCCCTCCTTTCCCTCTGGCGCGCGGGTTCTTCCCGCTGGGCGGGGCTGTGGGCCAGGATGCAGACAGGGTAGGGCCGGAGGGATCTCCAGGGGGGCTGTCCACTGTGATTAGCCTTGGGGGAGATACAGGAGCGAGGTGACACTGGAGACTCAGCAGGTGGGGCAGGGAGCTCTAGACCCACCTGGGGCAGGCTTGATTGCGGAACCCAGACGCCTGATCCGAGAAGCCTTGCCAAAACCTTCCTCTGGAACTCCCTCCCTCACATAAATCAGATTCCCGCTGGAGCTGAAGGCCCTTTCCACAGGTGCAACTTCTAGGGATGGAGGACTGCTCCCCCTCCACCCACTTCCAAATTAATAACTGTTCCTCCAGAGCCTTAAATACTTATTAAGTCCTCCTGCCTTTTACATAACAAGATCATCCATTATTTAAAGTTCCTTCATGCTCATGAGTCACAATTATTTTTGCATAAATCTAACTCTCCATAGAGCTCAGGAGCTAAAGTCCACCTAAATGCTCATAAAATGGGGTGACAGCTGGTTGGGTCCCAGGTGTTGAAGTGTGAGTACTAATACTAAACTCCTGCTAAGTCACCCAGCTCTCATTTGTAGGGCACCGTTTCCTCTTAAGATACCAAACTGTGTTAGCCAGCTTAGCCAGAGAACAGAGCAGCTCCCTCCAGACCAAGTGGGATCAGAGGACATCTGGGGGTCTGAGGGCCAGATGGGGGAAAGCCTGCTGAGAGCCTTGGGCTGTCTTGCAAGGCAAGAGTAGAGAGATCACAGAAGGGTAGGTTTCAGTTTGAGGTTAGGTCAAAGATGATTTCCTGAGGACCTGACCTCTGCTCCAGAGGCAGTGCACTAGGGATAATAACACTGTAGCTTAATGGGAAAGTCTACTGAGTAATCCTTTAGCCCTTTCTAATTGCTTTTCGGTCCTAAACATTTTCCACTCTCCTCAGCCTTCTTCATCCCGACATCAATTCTCTTACTCCTTTTCTGGGAAAATTGAGGCCATCTGACACAAGCATTTTTCTATTTATCTAAATAATTGTATGTCCACTCATCTTTGTTTTTGTCTTTAAGTAAAACAAAATGCTGTGTCTCCCATTCCCTTAATCCACCAATGTTAATTCTTTCTCTTAAGTACTGGAGCAAATCTTTCACTTGCCCCCAGACCTTTTCCCATCCATTCTCACCTTTCAACTTACATTTTCTTTCTTTGTTTATTTTCATTCTCTTGTCAGAGGTTATGTGCTGTCACTAGAGAGAGACAGACAATGCAGAAGAGGAAAAGCACTCCCCATGGGGGATGGTCAGACTGCAATCCCTTCTCTATTTCTCTCTCCTTTTGGGAATTTGGGCACACATGCCCAGCATTTTTCTCAAGCTTTCTGGTCCAGGATTAGAACCATGTACTTGGTCATGTGGGATCCAGCTGCCTTGACCACCGGGGATGGAACAGGCACTTTTTATTTTTTATTTTTTTAAACATTTATTTATTTATTCCACAAAAGAGAGAGTTTGCACTCTTAACAGGGTCTCAAAGCTGCTATCAGTTCCCAACATCAGCCTCAGCCAGCTTGGAATCTCCAGCTCATGGGTACCTCGTGGACTCAGGGACATATCCAGATGTGAACCTTCCCATGTGGGTCAGCCTTGCAGAGTGAGGTGCCACTGAATGGCCCCCATCTTCTTATATTTTCTATTGCCTCCTCTGTAGATTGCTTTCAGTCCATAAACATATGCAAAGCTTCCTTCGCCTACCTCTGCCCTTGAGCAGTAGTCTTTTCCTTTTCAGTCATGAACAAACTTGGCAGATATCTGGATGTGTTGCTGCCACTTTCTAGAAGAATCCAAATGCTCAGTAGATGCAGGGATCTTTAACTTTCTTGCTAGTGGAATCTGCTGTTCACTTTCAGGGGAGCAATGAGTGGCTCCTGACGACTGCTTTCAGAAGGGAGAGAAGCAGGGAGACTTTCCCCTGCATGATTTGCCTCCTGGCCAGCATCTTGAAATTTTGCTTGCTTTACTGTTTAGAAAAAAGGTAATGCATTTGTTTGGTATGAAGATTAGTGACTATACAGCACTTAGACTTGAAGATACTGCATTCTGTTTTTCCAGGAGGCTGGTTATACAGGCTTAATTTAATTAATACTGGTGTCAATTAAAAGGAGATATTTTTAAATTTTATAAATGATGTATTTTTAAATTAAAAAACTTCTTTTATGCAAAAGAATGGTTTCAGGAGGATTTCTGCTAATGGAAATAATACTGGCCTGTTACTTAGTATGTAGAAACTTCAGCAACAGGTCTTTTTGGTGATGTTACTTGCTACCAGAAAGTAGGAGGAACACGTACTTCCCATGACTCAGGTGACGGGCATTAAGGACCCTACCTTGGGGATACCAGAGCACAGCACAGCAGCCAAGTTCTGTGGGATGTTTCTAATGTATTCTGCCTTGTCCTGCTGTAGGTCCTTGGGCAAGTTATTTCTCCTTGCCTCAGTCTTCTCCCCTGTAAAGTAGGAACAGTGGCATTTAGCCCAACGTGTTCATGAGGTAATGCACACGAAGTCTTCTCAGTGTCTTCCTGAGGACATCTGGGGGTCTGAGGGCCAGATGGGGGAAAGCCTGCTGAGAGCCTTGGGCTGTCTTGCAAGGCAAGAGTAGAGAGATCACAGAAGGGTAGGTTTCAGTTTGAGGTTAGGTCAAAGATGATTTCCTGAGGACCTGACCTCTGCTCCAGAGGCAGTGCACTAGGGATAATAACACTGTAGCTTAATGGGAAAGTCTACTGAGTAATCCTTTAGCCCTTTCTAATTGCTTTTCGGTCCTAAACATTTTCCACTCTCCTCAGCCTTCTTCATCCCGACATCAATTCTCTTACTCCTTTTCTGGGAAAATTGAGGCCATCTGACACAAGCATTTTTCTATTTATCTAAATAATTGTATGTCCACTCATCTTTGTTTTTGTCTTTAAGTAAAACAAAATGCTGTGTCTCCCATTCCCTTAATCCACCAATGTTAATTCTTTCTCTTAAGTACTGGAGCAAATCTTTCACTTGCCCCCAGACCTTTTCCCATCCATTCTCACCTTTCAACTTACATTTTCTTTCTTTGTTTATTTTCATTCTCTTGTCAGAGGTTATGTGCTGTCACTAGAGAGAGACAGACAATGCAGAAGAGGAAAAGCACTCCCCATGGGGGATGGTCAGACTGCAATCCCTTCTCTATTTCTCTCTCCTTTTGGGAATTTGGGCACACATGCCCAGCATTTTTCTCAAGCTTTCTGGTCCAGGATTAGAACCATGTACTTGGTCATGTGGGATCCAGCTGCCTTGACCACCGGGGATGGAACAGGCACTTTTTATTTTTTATTTTTTTAAACATTTATTTATTTATTCCACAAAAGAGAGAGTTTGCACTCTTAACAGGGTCTCAAAGCTGCTATCAGTTCCCAACATCAGCCTCAGCCAGCTTGGAATCTCCAGCTCATGGGTACCTCGTGGACTCAGGGACATATCCAGATGTGAACCTTCCCATGTGGGTCAGCCTTGCAGAGTGAGGTGCCACTGAATGGCCCCCATCTTCTTATATTTTCTATTGCCTCCTCTGTAGATTGCTTTCAGTCCATAAACATATGCAAAGCTTCCTTCCACTACCTCTGCCCTTGAGCAGTAGTCTTTTCCTTTTCAGTCATGAACAAACTTGGCAGATATCTGGATGTGTTGCTGCCACTTTCTAGAAGAATCCAAATGCTCAGTAGATGCAGGGATCTTTAACTTTCTTGCTAGTGGAATCTGCTGTTCACTTTCAGGGGAGCAATGAGTGGCTCCTGACGACTGCTTTCAGAAGGGAGAGAAGCAGGGAGACTTTCCCCTGCATGATTTGCCTCCTGGCCAGCATCTTGAAATTTTGCTTGCTTTACTGTTTAGAAAAAAGGTAATGCATTTGTTTGGTATGAAGATTAGTGACTATACAGCACTTAGACTTGAAGATACTGCATTCTGTTTTTCCAGGAGGCTGGTTATACAGGCTTAATTTAATTAATACTGGTGTCAATTAAAAGGAGATATTTTTAAATTTTATAAATGATGTATTTTTAAATTAAAAAACTTCTTTTATGCAAAAGAATGGTTTCAGGAGGATTTCTGCTAATGGAAATAATACTGGCCTGTTACTTAGTATGTAGAAACTTCAGCAACAGGTCTTTTTGGTGATGTTACTTGCTACCAGAAAGTAGGAGGAACACGTACTTCCCATGACTCAGGTGACGGGCATTAAGGACCCTACCTTGGGGATACCAGAGCACAGCACAGCAGCCAAGTTCTGTGGGATGTTTCTAATGTATTCTGCCTTGTCCTGCTGTAGGTCCTTGGGCAAGTTATTTCTCCTTGCCTCAGTCTTCTCCCCTGTAAAGTAGGAACAGTGGCATTTAGCCCAACGTGTTCATGAGGTAATGCACACGAAGTCTTCTCAGTGTCTTCCTGGAGTAAATCTCCATACATTTAGAGCTATTGTCATTATCATCATTACTATTAACAGGTTAATGCATCATGTATTCCTACTATTTGTGTGAGTCATTCTTGGTATTAGTGAATATGATCCATAAACCACCTGACGGATGAGGAAGTAAGCTTTTCAGGCTTAAAAGCAGAGAAAAATCTCACAAAAATAACAGATATTTATAGTATTTGCTCTTGTATTTATTTATTTATTTATTTTTTAAAGACCGGGTCTCACTATGTCAAAATTCTCCTGCCTCAGCCTTCCGAGTAGCTGAGTGCCCAGGCATGTATCACCATGCCCAGCTTTTTCAGACAGGATCTTGTTATGTCGTCCATGCTGGCTGCAAGTTTATGCCTCAGCCTTGGGACTAGCTGGGACTAGGGCTGGAGCCACCATGTCTAGTTTTTTTGATTGGTTGGTTGTCTTTTTAGAAAGGTAAAGTTACCTTTATTTTATTCTTTGAACCTTGTAAATCACT